CCGTCAATATTAGATCGAATAAATCTATCACAGTGGGATTATCTCGTAATTTATCCAAAAATGAAGGGTTTATACTTGGTGTTCTCGTGAAGATAAAACTTTTTGGATTATTATCCTTGGGGACCCAATCATTAGCCTTATTTTCACTTGTCGAAGTTTCGTTTGTTTTCCGAATCTTCGGAAGATGTACGTCTAAAACATTTTTTCTGTCATTGAAAAAAAAAAAAAAAATCTGTTCGTCGTTACACTTTTCGAAATTATTTCGTAATTCTGCGCGAATGGGTTAAGTACCAGATGGAATTCGATCTATTCGGAGCTGCGCCGGATACTCTGTTTCTCGGCACACAACCGGTTTGAAAGATAATCGGTATGTTTCGTGACATCGAGGACGTATCCATCATTCCTATGTAAATTTCCAGGTCGGCGACTTCCTGTTGCTTCATCTACTGGGACAGAACATGAACGTGATGATGTTCAACGAAGTATTGGACGAGCTCTGCCGTCAGTTGAACGTCGGCTCAACGAGCGGCGCGTCACCGACGTCGGTGCCATCGGCGCCCAGCACTCTCGAGATGTCACCGATTTACCCGGAGATAGAAAAATACGCGAAAGACACCGAGATCTAAAGATGCCTCGTTCCAATCGTATTTCTGCCTTCTACTTTGCATTGTGATAAGGCCGAAAGTTATTAGCGTCCTATCTCGACACTTTCGGTCTCTCTCTCTCTCTCTTTTTCTTTCTCTCTCTCTCTTGAGAAACACGTTTGTGCTATCGACGGTCGGTTTCATCGAAACGAAGGAAAATCGGGATGTCGAGACATCGAAAAAAAAGAAAAAAAAAAAAAATCAGATCTTGCTCGAAACTTTCTCCTTCGATCTGTGTGTGTTATGCATCGACGCAACGAAGATCTCGCTTGCTTGCCGTTCGAGAGGAACGTCGTAACAGGTAGTTAAGCCTGTTAAAATAACAGTGTTCAATTACGAGTTCTGTTATCACGTGTGTTGTTTCACACCATCCGTAGCACAAACTAGCGTTAGATTATCGAACGAATGTGTAACGTAGACGATAACACGCGACACTTTGGACTCGGCAATGCGTGTCGCGTGCGATCGCCTATCGCTGTTAAATTATAGTAAGCCGAATTTCACACGCATAGAAGTGTATTATCTCGATTATCTCTAATGTTACGCGTAACGTAATCGCGTTCGCCACCCGGTTAGTCGCGGACTGCGAGTCCGTCGAGAACACCGATAGTAACACCATGATGTGAATGATTGTTATGGAATTTCGAGGGGCGAACGCGGTGAAAATACCATTCTCTTTTTTTCTTTCTTCTTTTTTCTTTGGCTTTCCTTCCGACAAAATCAATCGTTACGCCTGGATGTTCGTATCAAGCGTGTTCCTCAATTCCTATTTTTGTGTTACACGTACACACACATTCCTTTCGTATTAATTCGCGTGTACCGCGATGAAGAAGTAAGTGCCTTTCGGGAAGAGGTGTGTGTCAAGTTGCGTTCGAACGTTTCATTTGTCGACTGAGCGACTGCAATATATGTTATTCGTTTACGATATCGACGAGTGTTCAACAAGTGACATTCGAACTACTTTCGACTTACGAATGAGAAGCGGCTTATTGGAGAAATCACTAGTTTTTAGTACGAACGTAGAATGAGACTGCGCAAGCTTTTCTTTTCTTTTTCCTTTTTTTTTCTTTCTTTCTTTTTTTTTTTTTTTTTTAGAAATCATAGAAATAAATACGAGTATTTCTAAGGATACAAATCCCCAAAAGAGCTCTCATATATTTTTTACGTATCTGAATATAGGCGTTCCGTTCTGCGTAACGTGCACAGGAAAATCATGCGATCTTTCGTCCCGAAAATACTGTGCATTCCCTTGCAATTACTCGCGACACGTGTGGCTCGAGTACGGAAGGGCGAGTACTCAAACAACTCACGTTTAGATATTTCCTTTCCTCGCGTTTGCGTTTGTAACTGGTGCAATTATCGTAACGAGAAGTTAATGCGAATTTTTCATTAAAAACAAAAGTTGTAGTACACTTGTGGTTGGAGACATTCTCGATTATTCACAGCAACGAATCTGATATTTTGCAAAAC